CCTAATGTCTTACCTGTTGCTTTCTCTCGCGCTCTTCTCACATATAACATATGCCCTTGGAACGAATTTATGTTTATTTAAAAGTATTTCCATAACAAAATTTATTAGTATAGCTTCGCCAAGTTGATCTTTGAGTAGATATGAGTCTGAAAGCGATTCGAAAGTTTGCAGTGGTTTTGCCAAGAAAGAAAAAGCTTGAGATGTATTTTTTGGATTTCTTATCCTTTTTTCACTCATTTCACGGGTTATTCTTTGTTAAATAAACCGCCCATTTTTAGGCTGCTACAATTCTGTTAACCCTTCATCGATAACTTCCACGTACATTTTTTTCGCATTATATGCCGAGTTTGCGCCAAAACTAAGTCAGTCAAAAGCGTCCGAACATGTTGCGAACAAAAATATATATATATATATTTTTTTTTAATATTCTGTCTCTCTCTCTCTCTCTCTCTCTCTCTCTCTCTCTCTCTTTCCGACTCTTCCCTCTTCTCGCTAAATATAGTAGTTATATATATATATATATATATATATATATATATTTCTCTTTAATATTTAAAAAATTAATACCTGAAATTACAAAAAAAAAAATTGCTTTTGTTGTTTATACAAAAATCATCAATCAATGATATGTTTGTAAAAACATAAAAAAATGTGAAAGGTTTAAAAATCGTAAAGATTTTGAACATTAAGGTGAAATTACTTTCATACGTTTTAACAATAAAAACCAATGAGACTTTGTACAAATTATTTAGTCTATAATTATAATCACTGTTATTTATTATTATTATGATTATTATTATTTTTATTTATTTATTTATTTTTTTTTGGTTAATTCATATCACTAATCGACCTTTACGTAACGAAAAAAAAGTAAATAAATAAGTAAATAAATAAATGAAGAAATAAAAACAAAAGGCAAAAAAGAAAAACCATAAAATTTGATTAATAGAAAACCGCTTGCACACGTTCACACATTTACATTATTTTCTTTCTCTTAATAAAAAAAATGGAAAAATCTCTCAATTACTGTTCAGGCAAATAGACTGTTTTTTGTTTTTTTTTTTTTCATCTCGGCAGTGGAGGATATATTAAATTGATTAAATGTTGGCAACGCATAGAAATATCTATGCGTCGGTGTCTGTCTCTCGATATCCGCGAAATCATGAAAACCGCTTCAAGACTTTATGTGAAAAATGAAAATTTCGCCTTAAATCTTTGAATCTCTAAAATGTTGAAATCGCAATCCATACTCCAAACTCCCTGATCATTTTCTCTTATTTCAAATCGTACAGTTTTATTAGTTGAGAGCTTTATTTATTAATCAAAGCGTCTTGTTCTTATAGTTCGAAAACAATTAACAAAACTCATATGTAAATAATATGCGAATTATGCAAATAAAGCCCTTTAGGCCTTTAACGTTTTATTGTCTGCAATTTATCTTGAAATGTTTCCAAATGGTGTGTAAAGTATGATTAAAAAATGTAATACGCGATATACGATGGATATCAAATATAGCCAATGAATAATAGATCGTTCGCTCTAGTATCATATAAAATATTAAAAATCGTTGTAGCAGTAGTCGTAGTAGTAGTTAAAAAGTTCGTTTCAAGCCATATACAATTTTATTTTTAATTTCATCACTTTTGAAAAGAATGGTTGGTGGTAGCATTGGAATTTCTCTTTCAGAGGTTTATCATTTCTAAATCTCTTAAGCTAAATAGCTTAGATACACGTATGTAAAGATATTAAGAAAAACGCAGCGAAAGAAAAAAAAAAAAAAAAAAAAAAAAAATTACAAACAAAAAAGAAAAGAAAAACAGTTTTTTATTGTTATTGTTGTGGAATTATTATCTGTACTTTTTTGTTGCTCATATTTAAAATTTATTTGACTCAAGTGAAAGTTTCACAAATGAAAAGCGCAAATAAGGGACAAATATAATATATATATTTTTTTTTTGTTTACCATCAATTTTAGTACTCTTTCAAAATATGATTTTCCGATATTATTATTATTATTATTATTATTATTAAATTTGTAAGCAACATTTTCAGATTAAATCGACATACGGATCGACACATGAAGCATAATTAAAAAATTTATATTTTCAGTTCAAGATTGTACAACGGATTTTTTTGTTTCGATACTGTTCGCCATAAACGAGTTGGCATTGAACGTCTCATTAAGTTGATCGCTGTCTGTCACAATTTAAAAGTGGTATTACATTCCTTATTGCGATCACTGTTCAACTAACAATTACATAATAGTAGTGAAAAATTATGTTAATTTATCGAAGTGAACTATTTCACAAATGTTTCGAGCTCAGTACGGCCTATCCTTTAAGGGTTAATCCACTGTATCATTTTTTTTTTTTTTTTTTTTGCGTTACATGGACATAAAGTTTGGAATGAAGTTCTAGGTGCTCGCTATGAATTCGCCTATCACATTATACATTTTTTTGTTGTTTTCCTTGTCATTTCGCCGGGACATGTAAAGTGTACAATCAGCAATTCTGTCTTCAGCAGAAAGGACAAACCAGGGACCTCTGAGATTAAAATCGTCAAAGAAGAAATCGAATAAGGAGGAATGACTGAGCAATGTGAAGGCATTTTTACGGTCGTGAGATTGAAGATTTAAACATGTCTATAACATGGGACCTATGGAAGAACTTTTACGCTTTTCGTTCCTTTCATTCCGACATTTGCAACGCCCAAAAGAAGCCGTCAGAAACCCCGCAACGTATATATATATTTTAAATCAGCATCACAGTCTGAATCGATTTAAGCATGTCCGTCTGATCGTCTGTGTAAATTTGGCAGAAAAAGAGAACATGAACAGATCTAAACTTTTCAAAGGCAACGCGTACAACGTCCACATGCCTATGCAGCAACAATTCTTATTTTGAAATTAGAAAAAATCATCCGCGCACGCTCCATATTGCAGAGCATGAAAATTGAATTCTTTGCCTTTTTTTGTCTTCCTTAGGATAACGGTAACGAGTATAAAAGATTCGATCACGACCGAATATATAATAATTTTTTTCTTTTTTTTTTTTTGTTCTTTTCGAAAATAGGCATCGGCCAATTATCCCTTTTAATTGAAGAGAGAATGCCTTACGAGAATGTTGCCATTTTTTAATATTTTGCCCAAAAGGATTTTTTTTTTCCTACAACTTAAAGATATGCTTAATACATCTAGCAAATATTATTGTTCTGTTACCTACTATTACTTTTATTTAAGAAAAATTTGTCAAAATTTTTCCTGTCTTTTAGACTGTTATGTTGGAGGTATCCCTTAAGTGATTATTTCGCTAACCAATTGTTAATTTATTTTAAAACTGCTTAGCACCTTTAAACTTTGATTTATAACTCATTTGAACATTTTGTGGAAAAAAAATAAAATGATATGCCGCCCTATTACGATACTTTTGATAGTAAAAAGGCAGAGAAAGGCACGAGAGACGTTTTCGTGGCGACGACGAGATACTGGAAAAATTACTTTTCTAAAGTATGTTTTGTACCGGTTACATATTTTCCCAAAGAGCGGATAACATCGTGAAAACTTACATGTGGCCTAGGGTTTCACATCTTAAAAGTATGCGATTACGTGTTGGCGTCGTTGTTGGTCTCAGGAGTTATTTGAAAATGTTCGTTGTATTAATATTCGGATCTTGATCTCAATTTTCTCACTACATAAACGTGAAATTTAATCAATTTTCGCTATGAACTTGCGTGAGTATGAGATTTCTCCCTTTTCCGGTTCTGCATGATATAAAATAAGCGTACTTGTTTCATCCTTTGATGATGTGCAGATCAAACAAAAAATTTATTACTCAGTTTATTTTTAGTTCAAATCCTATATGTAAAAAAAATCACTTACATTTTCAAAACTATAAAAACCAAAATCATTACACGCTTACACACACACACACACACACACATACACACACGTACACAAGTAAACTAAATTGTATGCAGACAAAAAAGAAATAAAAATATAGACGACCACATAGACAACCGTCTTGTTGATCTATGGTTAACAAGGCCATTTCAGAATGCAACCATACAATCAAACCTGTCTGGTAATTCTCATTCTTAAAGTACACAATAACAAATACAAGCATACTGCAGATTACACATTAAAGCTAAATAACACGTGAATAGGATAGAGAATCTAACTGACTGGCTCTGAATACTGTCTGTTCTGTGGGTTAATAGCACACTTGAGCAATTATATTAGCACATGGTTAGATTTAATAAAACAACAACATCAGTAAGAAAAAAAAAAAGATAGTGGTATCTACCGAATTGTTAGGAAAATGAAAAAGAGAGTTAAACACACTTTGCTCACTAAAGCAAAATTAAAACGAAGAACAAGTTTTCTTTTCCTTTTTTTTTTTTTTTTAAATTTTTTTTTTTTTTTTTTTTTTTTTTTTTTTTTTTTTTTTTTTTTTTTTTTTTTTGCAGTAATATTAGAAAGACATTTAGAGTGGAAATTTATAGAGAAATTCGAGTTTCTAAGAAAGAGCATAAGTGTTTCATGCACAGCAATATGGAAAAGAGAGTGAAAGACAAAAAAAAAAAAAAAAAAAAAAAAAAAATCACATTATATGGATAATAATATTTCATGGTTATCTGAGTAGCTTTTTCAACTGACAATTTTGCAGCTTTCTTGCTTTCTTTCTTAGCCCATACGGCTAATACAACTCATTGCTGAAAGAAGAGGTTTCCTAACATCAGTCAGTGTTCGAAGCGTTAAGAGAAATAGCGTAACGTAAAGTATGATCCATTAGCAAGGAAAAGTTTCCCAACATAATATTTTATTAAGTGCCTTTGAATGTTATGGATTTTTTACCATTTTTTAAAAGGTTCGAGTAAATGAATTCGTTGCAAAAAAAAAAAAAAAAGAAGAAGAAGAAGAAGAAAAAAATGTATTTATTTTATAATGATTTTGTGCAAAATTTGCTTTAATTTTTTACTTTTTTTTTATTATTTATTTACAGTTAACACGAACGATTGTGTGTCTTTATGTTATTCTCAAATCTTGGACGTAAAAGTTTATAAACAGATATAAGTGAACACATAGACACATAACATGGGGCAACATACGCGATCGAAATTGCTTCCAATATTTGTTTCCTTATTTTTAACACTCAAGGTAAGTTTCGTGAAAAAGTGAAACTTTTTTAACAAAAAAACATCTTCAGTCATCAATCAATCTCTCTCTCTCTCTCTCTCTCTCTCTCTCTCTCTCTCCACTGCCTCTATCCCTCTCTCCCTCTCTTTCGCTCCATACTCTCTCCTATCTCTCTCAATCTCTCTCTCCCGCTCTCGCTCTCTCTCTCTTTCTCTGTTTTTCTCCATCTTTTCCCGTCCATAAAAAGAGAGCATTTTGAAGTTAAAATAACGGTAATGTGTGTATAAAGATATGCAATAAAGCGAATCACTTGATTTACATTCAAATTTAAATATTTTTAATATAAAGTAGGAAAAGATAGTAACACAATGAATGTAATATGCATATATATATATATGTCGTGTGCCGAAGCTACTAATACCCAACACTACTACGTACTTGATTGTAAGATAAGGCGAATATCTGTCAATTTGTCTGTTATTATAACATTAGGCAGCAACAAATGGATACTTATACGCTTTACTATATTCTTTGGTGATCTCTCAACTTCCCTTGACGCTGTACGTGAAGACAGTAATAAAAAAATATTCAACGCCTAGCTTATGCGTTTAGGCAAAATTATTGTTATAACGCCACACGAAGGGCAGATGAATATAAATAAATCGATCGAACCGGCCTACACGCTTATGTAGAACATATACACTTTATAAAAGATCTTGGACGTATTATTTCAACCATAAGAATATCAATCGTTTATTTGGTAAATAGTCTAAGTCAATTTTCCGATCAATCCGCGAGCCTTAAGCGTATCTCGTCATGCAATTGAATTGAATTTGTAAATTGTTCCAGTGAATATTTTTTTCAAAATTCTATATATACATATATATATATATATATATATATGTAATATATTTGCTGTGAATTGTAAAACACAAGTTTTATCTATTTTGAACGTGTTGTTGTTTTTAATCATAAGCATGTTGGTGGCTTGGTTAAAGCCGCCTGAACATCTTTCTATCTATCACGCATATCACGCATAACATAATGAAAAATTCGACATGAGCTTACTTGACGACAGTGGATGTAAAATTCCGTAAAGACTTATCGCTTTTATCGATTTCAATGTAAAACTTCGACTTAGGTTGCTTTCGAAATGAACAACGTATTTTTGAAGAAATATGAAAATTTTCAATCTCTTAGCTTTTTAGACTAGTAAACGAGTTAATGGACGCGATATTTGCCTACGCCTAAGGCGCAGCAAAAATACACGAATACATGAGAAATTTCGATTTTCTGTTGGAAGAGTTTTATTAATATGAACTTAAAGATGCAACAAATAATCGCAAAATTCTTACTAATCAAGAAATTGTACAACGTCGTATATGGTTTTCAATAAATTTTCTTTGGCATTATGATGAATCAATCAATGAAAGCAATAGGCCACGCCATCCTATGATGACGAGTATAAGAAAGAAAAAAAATCATCTAAGAAAATATTAATCAAGCAATGCACCATTATGTACATAAAATACAAAACTAAACGGTATTAAATGTTAATGTTTGAATAAAATGAGATAGATGAGAATAAATTCTGAATGCAAACAAAATCATTGATAATAATATCGCGCTATCTTTATGTACATCTATGTGTACATAATATAATAATAAGTATGCATCCATACTCTTAACCGACATTCAATATTTTACCGTTAGGCACGTCTATTCATATAAATGCATACATACATACATACATACATACATATATTATATATGTAGATAAGTGTTGTAAGTTTAATACCTAGAAGGAATGTCATATTAACTGCATTACTACATTTTTCTTTTTTTATGATTGCATTTTTCTTATTTTTTTTTTTTTTTTTTTTGCTTTTCTTCTTTTTTTTTTTTTTTTGAAATTATCATCAATCTAAAGACAAAAATTGAAAAAGAAAAGCAAAACAAAAAGGTTTCGCTTTATTTACTTACACATGTAAATATTATTGTTTTTCAAAGCCATCATTAAAAACTATAATTATATATATATATATATATATATATATATATATATATATATATGGCTGTGAGTGTTATTTCTCTTTCACTCAGCTTCATTATTCCGTTTAATCGTTTCGTATTCGCATGCTCTAGCTACTTATTTGTACAGCGAAAATGCAGTTATGCTCTGATTTGTACCAGTTTCGACTTTCTTCTTCTTTATTTATTTATCAGTTAATTTTTTATACGCACATCTATGCAGATAGATGTATATGTATGTGCATACCTGTCGACAGAGCTAAATGCATCTGCATGTTATGAATATAAGCGCAATCTTGATTTGAACGATTTTTAAATAATTAAAAGATAGCTTTTGATAAAATTTTCCACTCTCAAATACATGCATAATGCTTACATACACGTTATTTTTTTTATTTTTTTTTTGTTTTCTTTATTTTGCCTTATGTTTAATAAGGACCGTGTCAGTAGATGTGCTCAGTTTATTTTCAAGAAAAAAAGATCGTACATTTTCAAATTTACAGTTTTCTTTTTCGAGGTTGGCAAGTCTTGAACCTGTCTTTGAACGACTTGTATTCGCATTAAAATTTCGTTTACGAAATTCAATTAAAAAATTGCGGATTCGAACATTCTATATTAATGCTTTCGTTAAAGAAACTTTCTGAGAATTTAAAAGAAAAAGTGAATAAACATAAATCGATACATAAGACTTGCGCTCATTAAAAATATATATATGGTATATAGTGGCAAATGCAGCTCTTCGATTGTTATAACACGACTCCCACGGTGGCCTTCGCCATTTAATGCACTTGTCACTTTAAAAAACGGTACGGATTTATTTACAGGGAATTTTATCTCTTAAATAAGCCATCCGGGTACTTACTTACGTATTAACGCCACCGCGGCAAAAATATTAGTTTTTATGGACACGACATCCTTGCCTTTGCTTCCTGTTCCTAGAATGGATAACATTCCCGTTGTACTTGCATTGAATTGAATTAATATTTAACGCACACTACCAGATGGTACAAGTAGAATTAAGCTCGCTGTCGAATCACGCTCTATTCAAAATAAATACATATATTAGAATGCCCTCGATAGTGTGCATGCAGTCATCTTGCCTATAAAATCTTTCAAACCTCTAATACAGGTGTCCCTCGTATAACACGATTAATTCACACCGTTCTATAGCGAAACTGTGTTATGCGAAACAAGGTATACCATGTAGTATCGAGGCCTTCTGTTTTTTTATATCGAAACCGTGTTATACGAAACGTTCAAATAATATAAATAAAAGCAACATGTACCGTATTATATTGAAACCATGTCTAAAGGTGTAAAAGTGTATCGTATCTACTTCGATTTTGCATTTCAATCAGAATTTCTCTATCAGAAGCTAAAGGACTTTTCAATTCTCTTTAAAATTTCCCGCTACGCGCTGCGAAAAGATCTTCTTCAACGAAAAAATTCTCTAAATTTTTAGCTCGAGTTATTCTTATTCCCTGTTCCAGATCAGTTAAGTTTAAATGAGGAACCGTTGTAGTATTGCGAATGTTTTCGTAATCACCGGCATATTTAAAAGTGGACGTATTTATAAGTTCAATAAATTCTTCTTCATTCAAAGTTTCTTCTTTAAATAGTTCCCGAACATCATCAATGGTCATATTTGAAAATCTGTTCCCTTCTAAATTATAAGCAACCGATATGATTCTGTTAAATTTTGCTTCTTCACTTGGCATAGAGTTTCCTCTCTGAACCGTTTGGGGTAACAAAGGTCTCCAACACGCATGAAGTGTAGACTGATTTAATTCCTTGCACGCCAAAGCTATAATTGCGACACTATCTAAAATAGAAAACTCTTTCCAAGCTTGAGTAAGCGTGACATTTTTATAGTTTTCCAGTCTTTCGAAAATTTTTTGGAATGCTAGTCGTATGTAGTATGCCTTGATTTTTGCAATGATTCCTTGATCTAATAGTTGGATCAATCATATAAAATTTGAATGAAAAAACATAATTTTTACGTTAGGGTAGTTCATCTCTCTACTATGAGCAATAAAACTTTAAAGTTCCAATTTTTTTTTATTCAAAAACTTTCATAATTCTAGGCTAAAACAATTTTTAAACCAGTCTTCAAACAAATTTTGCGTCATTTTATTGCGGCTTTCTTATTTGCTCGCGAGAAAACTGGCAGATGACATTTTTCAGTAGCAATTAAGTTTGGAATTTCCCTTATTGAGCGCAAATACAAATATCCAATGCATATTCGATTTTTTGAAGTCATGTTGTGTTAAAACCATGTTACAATTATTCCCAATTCTTGTGTAATCGTCTAATATCGAAATCGTGTGTTACAATTACCGCGTTATACGAGGGACGCCTGTACATTAATTTATTCATTTATTAAAAAAGAAATTCTGAAAGTAAATGACAAGGTAGCTGAACCATGTTGCGCCCCAAATTATTATATTTAGATTATCATTCGGGAGAGTATAGAAGCAAAGTCTAAAATCTTAAAGTACCAGCAGTGTCTAAGGCTATCGGCTTTATTGAAAACCCTACCGCACTTGAGATTTGAATCCACACAACCTGCCACTCAGGTTAATTTGAAACAGCATAAAATAAACAAGTAAGAAAACTATATTCGATCGTGACCGAATTGTTTATACCCCTTACCGATGTCATCAAAAACACTGAAAAGAAAAGAAAGGCTGATTTTTTCTATTTCCACAGTACAAGTGTAAATTTATATCGTATCGGGTTTCTGTTGCGGTCTATGAGTAACAAGCACACAGCAGGGAAAGCAAAGATGTCCTCAGTTTTTGTCGTATAGACCTACGAGCGTAGTGGGCGTGTTCATTGAAAAGTTTAAGTCAATTTCACATTCTTTCCCAAGTTCGTAGCCGATATAATATGGGAGAGTATTAACCACAGACACTTTAAAGTTGGGTAGACGAACAGATGGATAGACAAATAGACGGAAATGCTTAGATGCGTTCAAAATTTGAAAGTGAAAAAAAAGAAACATATAAATTTGTATATTCAATAATATTGGGCGGGTGTGGACAAAATTCTTCTAAAATTCTTCTTTATATTGTGTATCGATTGTAGCTTGTGAGCAACGAACAAACGACAGGGAAGGCAAAGGTGTTCTCAGTTTTGTTTGTACAGACGTGTGAGCGTTTTAGGCATGTTCCTTAACTTGCTTGCGTCATTTTCAAATTCTTCTGCAAATTTATAGGCGATATCTTCCTTTCTGCGAAAGGTAAAATGTGTACCACAGATAATACACATGTCAGCAGACGGGCAAATGGATAGATTAACAGATAGACAAATAGACAACCGAGCAGACGGCCATGGTAATATGAATATGAATGTTGTTGGTTAAAAGAATGTGGAATATTACATATGTTAACAATATATGTAATTTATTAAGCATATGCAAACTTTAAGGAACGAATAATAAGTTTACCTATGAAGTAAGCAGATTTTATCATAACTCATCTCAAAATAGTATTCGAAGTTAATTTCGGATTTCTTTAAGATAGACAGTAAAACCTGAAATTTAAAATTTTTGTACATCATATTCAAGCTTTTTGTACAAAATGCCTGGATTCGTGCAATGTTTTGACCACGGCATTAATATCAATCGGTATTTGTAACTGAGTTTACTCTAAAAATGTCAAAAGTCTATAACTAAAATATGCAAGTTACATACATGCCTTATATTAATATATGTAATATTAATAAGAATAATAGAAAGAAAAAAACTACAAATAAACGATTTTGGGAAAAAAAAATTTGAAAAACATATTACTGCAACACCCCTTAATCCCCTTTCGCTGTTTCTGTTCAATGGAAAATCTCAACGTATTCCTATCTAACATTTTCGTTCATTCGTTCGTTGACTTGAAAGATTACTCTAGAGATTACTTGCCTTAGGTAGTGCATAGAGTCTTTGCCGGTAATTTTAATGAAAGCTAAGCAAAATATTTTTCATTAGAAAGAAATTTAGTTCTAAAGAACTTTCTATAAATTTTTAAAAAACGAATGATTTTAATTGAATTTTCTTTAGTTGCAGAATGTTTACTGTGATGGGCCACATGTGGACTCGGCATCGTTACCTCTGGAGCACAGATCCGTTTATGGAGCCCCTGCACCGTCACCAGTTTACGGATCGCCACAAACTGCATTAGCTGCTGGACCCAGCAATGATATATCCGATGAAGCCTGGCCTTTAGCTACAACAAATGATAGCCCGCAGATTAAACATTTACAAGTTCAATGCGAGAAAACTCATATGCGAGTAAATATAGAATTTGATCGTCCCTTCTACGGCATGATATTTTCGAAAGGATTCTATAGTGATCCGCATTGTGTTCATTTAAAACCCGGTACTGGACATTTGAGTGCCACTTTCGAAATTTTTCTAAACAGTTGTGGTATGACGAGTTCAGCTAATCATAATGCTGTTGGTTATGGTACACCAACTCCGTCAGGCAGTTATGTTGAGAATACCATTATCATCCAATATGATCCCTATGTACAGGAAGTTTGGGATCAAGCTCGGAAACTGCGTTGTACATGGTACGACTTTTACGAAAAAGCGGTCACGTTCCGTCCATTCCAAGTGGATATGCTGCACGCAGTAACTGCAAACTTTCTGGGTGATAATTTGCAGTGCTGGATGCAAATTCAAGTAGGCAAAGGGCCATGGGCATCTGAGGTCTCAGGTATTGTAAAGATTGGGCAAACTATGACGATGGTGTTAGCTATAAAGGACGATGAAAATAAATTCGACATGTTAGTGCGTAATTGCGTTGCCCATGATGGCAAGCGTGCTCCAATACAATTGGTGGATCAGCATGGGTGCGTCGTTAGACCAAAGATTATGAGCAAATTCCAGAAAATTAAAAATTTCGGGCCTTCAGCCTCTGTAGTTAGTTTTGCCTATTTCCAAGCCTTCAAATTCCCCGATTCAATGAATGTTCACTTTCAATGCGTAATCCAAGTTTGCCGTTATAATTGCCCTGAGCCTAAATGTGGGCCTGGTCTACCCGGTATTGATTATGGTGTACCTCAAATTGGAGATAATGGATTGGCTTCAGAATATGGACCACCAGATGGATATGAACGTGGAGATTTCGCGATCGGCGGTTTACCACCGGCCGCTTATCCGGATCCCAGGCATCCCTCTAATGACGCCACCGGAGCATATTCTGAAAACCAACCCGATATCGTACCTTCCCCGCAAGCTCAAACTTCACCGATTAACGGCGCCTCTGATTCCGGTCCAGCCAGTTCGCAATCGCCTACACCAAATGCTAACGATTTGCACTTACCACCTCCGCCATTGCCCGGACAAGCAGGACAATATAGCACAGTGAAACGCAAAGATGATTTAGAGGGAGGAAATTTAGTGTCATTAGGGGGACGCCCTCGTTCCGTCGAGGGTCTAGACGACTTACGCGGGGTACGCAAACGTCGCGACACTATGGACTTTACCGTCAAACCACGTATATACAAACGCGATACTCAAGAGATGACGGATGTAAACACAAGTCGAATTATACAGGTAGTTGCACCTGGCGACGTCAATTTCGCTCTCAACAACAACGCCAGCAACGAAACAGTTGTAATACAATCAGCACGTACAGCTGATCCTGAGACAATTTGTATGTCAGTACCGAGTTTTGTTGGAGGCCTTGTTATGCTTTTACTCGTATTGGCTGTGGCTTCATTGGTGGCAGCGTTCCTTTTTGTCAGAGTACGGCATTTTGATCGTAAGGGCGCACCTATGGGTTATCATAATTAAGATCAAAATACCTCTAACAATCTTCCAAAACAACAGTATAACGACGTTCCAGTTTAATTTAGTAAACGTAGTAAAAGTAGTAAACGTTTATCGATTGAACACATGGGCTCTTATAAAACTTTCATTACTTTCACTGACTATTCAAAGTAAAATACTAGATTGGGTTTCATCTTTCAAATCTTTTCTTTTTCTTTCAAAAAATCAAAATGATTTTTCAGTATATTTATTATGTGTGTATGTAATTTATTATTTAAATAATTTATTTTTTGTATTATTTATTTCCGTTATTTTTTTAATTGTAAAAAAAAAAATTAATTGTCGAATAAAATGAATAAACAATTTAAGGAAAAAAAAAGAGAAGATAATATATGCTAACTTGGAATATAGAAGTGAGTATATTTAACTATATGCTGACTTCACAGAATGGTTAACATGTTACGAATTTCTATATATAATAATCGTGCATTACGAAATAATTAAATTGGATAGTAGCAGTTTTCTTTTTCTTGAAACACCTTTTGAAGACGAATATTAAGCTAATCAAATGCTTAAAGCGCATAAAAATAATGAACAGACATGTCGTGTTTTTCTGTTTTACAAAATCAAAAGCAAAAAAAGCGTGTCAAAGGTAAAGCTACAGTTAGAAATTTCTAGAGCCCTACAATCTGCCAATCTTCATGCGAAAACATTGTGTGCGCTGCTAAGTGGGTCTAATAAGTTACATGTCGAAATAAAGAAATGAAGCTTACGTGTTTACGTACTTCGAATATGTTGTCTTACATAACTAACCATAAGTAACCATTCGTTATGCTACATTAAGCACCTTCCCTCGCATATTTCTTTATCAGCTTACTTACCTAACTATCTTATATTTTTGAAAATTGAATACATATTCCGTCAAATTGCATGTATTAAAAATAGCTAATGCCAAGAAAATTCGCTCTTTCGTTTGTACTTTCATTGTAAATAAATTAACAAAAGTGTTTGCTTTGCTTTAACGAGATTCTGATATTGACTTGGGTTATATAGACACATTCCATATAAATCTGTTTATAATACGTATAAAAGCTACAAAATACGTTTTGTACTTAATGTTTGATGATTACATACATTACATGTGTTATGTAAGGAGCATTTATGACAATAAACAAACAAAAAATCGAAAAGAAAGAGGGCACTACCCTCTTAATAGTTGACAAGACAGCGATAATTCGCTTTTATATCTCAGAATTATGTAAGCGATGCTTTTCATGCAAAATATTCATTGTATTTATTGAATTTGTTCTATTTAACATCTTAAATGATAACGACAAGTCAATTTAGCTAAACTTATTTATACAACTAATTAAAAACAGTTCTAAACTTTTCTAAAACTTAATACCTACTATAACTAAACTAAGACCTTGAGCACCTTAACATTTTTCATTTCCCAATTAGTAAGTGTTAGGAGCTTCGAGCGTCATTTATTGTTGCTGGCACATGAACTTCCAAACCATCCATGTCTTTAGATAGTTGAATTTGGCAACCTAAACGTGAAGTATCTGTTAAATCATACGCTAAGTCCAACATATCCATTTCCTCGTCGCTAGGCTTATGCGGAAGTTTATTGTAATCAGCTTCTTTAAATATCAAATGACAGGTAGAGCATGTTAATGTTCCCTCGCAAGCGCCAAATCCATCTAAATCTATATGATTGTTAACTACTACATCTAAGAGCGAGTCCCCAACTTTACCTTCAGTTTTAATTTTCTCGCCGTTCGCTTTAATAAATGTTAGAGAGATTCTGTAAAAGCAAAAATATTCAAAAAATTGAAGTTAATTATCATATTTAAATTTTTATATGAATTTCTAAAGTGATTCGCTGCTTTACTTACTTCTCCTTTAAATTTATGCCCACCGATATTTGACGTACATTGTGTCTATTTATTAACCGTACATTTTGCAATTGGCTAAAGCCATGGCTTAATGAGCGTAATATTGATGAACTTTTACATTTTAATACATTGTGAAAAGCCTGAAAAGCCATCTTTTTTTTCTTTAAAAATAAGACAATTCGAGGTAAATTCGTAATCTTATCTAATCTAGACGCAAAATAAGCGCGGTTTTCTTAGCAAACCTTTTACAACAAACTCAACAAAATTTCACACATCATTTTATATACAACAACACAAACAACAACTTTCAAATTTTTTTTTGACTAGCTTCTTGCTGATGTTGCTATTCATACTTTGTTACTTTGCGTCTGTATAAGCAGAAAAGAAAAACCGAATTTGCATAAGCAATATGTTTTTTTGTATTAACGCTTTTCTTCTTTCGTAATTATAGTATTATAATACAAGATTGAAAAATTAATAATTTCATTATATTAGTTCTTATATTTGTATTTTCAATAATATTACTTAGAATTTTATTAGGATGAGATGAGCTTATTCATTCTGTTTACGAGATGAGTCATAAAGGATGGGTAATATTAAAAAGATCAAAACGAATAATAGGATTGTTATTTATAAGAGTTGTAGGGAGAAACGTTATTTAACTAATTCTTCCTAGTCCTAATAGTATTCTAGCATTTATATTTAAAAACTTAAAATTATTAACTTCAATCGCTTGTATTATTTAAGGGTTGATAGGTGATAACATTTCTAAAGTAACTTACATTTTTTTTAATTTATAATTTATATATTATGCTTAATGCAAAAAAACAAAATAATAATAATAATAAAATATATGTGAAGAGAAAAAATTTTACTCTCAACAAAGTCAAAAAGGGTCATCCATAAGGACACAGGATTGCGAAGGCGACGAAATCGTTCCCATTGTATGGATATAATAGACCTCGATCGAAACGTAAATGTAATAATGATTGAGAAAGTTATCAGCTGTTATCTACTCGGTTGTAAAACTCCGCATGGTATATAAAAATAATTTTAGTGCTCAGTATATTTTCATACAATTTCTTCTTTAGTTAATTCCTCGCGGTTTTCTGCTTGTTTGTAGAACAAACAAATCAAAGCCTATTTAAATGCCTTTAAAGAATATAAGCACATTTTTTCACGCAGAACTTAATTATTTAATTTAAGTTTTATTAATTAATTTTTAATTCTTTCACTCATTTTGCGTTCTAAGGAAATGGACCACAGGTGGAATAATTTCGACCTGAAGCGCCCTCCTTTTATAACCATACCGGTGAAACACAGTAAATTTGGTAATTGAATCATTAAATATATACTCAAAAAGAAAATGTTTATCTATAAATAAAGGTTTTCATAAATTTTAGTCCCTTTATTACATGCCGGAATTGATGAATATTTTTGTAACCACGGTACTTACGATGAAGTATTCAATGAAACAGCAGCTTTGCTTTCACGTCTAATAGCACGTCGCAAGAACTCATTCAGAAGAATGCATGGTTTCAGAGATATTTGCAAATTGAACGCTGCCTTATGCCGTTTATTGCGAGTAGATTTTAAAAAAGAGTTGGACACTTTTCGTTCATCGTTACCCGATGTTGCCTATGAGGACGGCACAGAAATATATATACCGGCAAGAGATTGTTACGACTTCCTATTATTGCGTTTGATTGCTGTGCATAAATTGTATGAGAGGATTCAAAATTGCTGTACCAAGGCTGCGGGCTATTTTCTTCATCAAATAAAAGTGTATCATTTTTTTGAAATTAGTACTCTCTTGTTGGCTGTTGTAGCAAAAATAAATGATTTGAGTATGAAATTGGGAAATTTGAGCACAAATTTATATCGACACTTGCTGCCATTTAGAGTAAAGCTGCCACGCAATATCAATCCAAACGTCTACAGCGAGCCCGAATTTGCATTTCCTAAAAAATTAGAAGAGTTCGATAAAAAAAGATTTTGCAATCTGCCATCTTCTAGTTTACAAGACACAACGCAAATGGAAGAAGAATTAAATCACTTGATAAGAGCAGATAGTATATTAGCGCCAGTTAGAGCCAAGTGCTTAAGAAAGATTGATGTTGGTGTTGAAGTGGAGCGCCAAGCAGAAGAAAGAGCAAAAACCTTAAACATTGATGAACTAACTACCGCAGAAGATGTAAAACGATTTATCCTGAAAGAACGAAAACAACGATCTAATAACTCAACTGAATGTATAACAAGAAATATAAAAGGTCACGAATGGTTGGGAGCGGTGAAAATGTTTGAAAAGAAAGTTCACAACGGTGAAGCTAGGAAAGGTTTAAGTGTTTTTCGGAAATTCCTCGAAGCAAAAATAAATTAAAAATTTAGTTTAGACCGCTAATATCTTCGCATCTTATTTTGTTTTTTAGTTAATATATATTTTTAAACTTCAATAAAAGCAGCGCTGGACACAGTAACCCGCCAGTATCCAGTATAAATATTTGTATAGCATAGCTTTCCACAGTTTCCATTTCTTTAATTTGTAATGACGTTTTTTTTTTTCCAAGCTCATGATTTCAGATCATTTTTGAACTATAGCGTATTTGCATAGGTGATTCTTGTGGAATTTGATACTTCTGAAAAATCACAGTTTATATATATATATGTATATATACGTATAGGAAGCATAATTTACCTTAACGAATTTTTTAAAATTGATAACCCCATTTTGAGGGCTCACACATGGAAACTTAGTCGCACTTTTATATTTATAATGTGTACGATGCTGATTGTTAGCAAAATTGTTTAGAGAAATTTGATGTATTTGAAAAGCATCTTTAAACGCCTCCGCCAATTTTTGGTCTTCCTCATTTTCAGTTTTGGAATTTATATGGTCATTGTTTTGTTCAACTTTTACATAGCTAGAGGAGCAACAAAGCCAGCTTGAAACATTGATTTTACATGGTAGAATTTTCGGTTTCGGTAGTATGATTTTTGACGTAGCCTTTTTAGTCACTGTTACAAATTCTTGTGTGGGTACTAAGTCATTGCTATCTTCACAAACAAATTCGGATTCATTGTAATTTTTTTTGTCCTTGAAATTAAACAGCCCATCATCTGAGTCATTATTGTCCGGACAAAGCTTTTTAGCAGTTTGTTTGGATTGCGTGGGCTTATCTCCAAAGTTGAACAAATCGTCGTCATCCACATCATCAACGTCTTCTCTTAATGCCAATATGAGCGGACGTTTGCGAATCCTTTTAGTTGCCTCCTCATTGGTTTTGTTTATATTTTCCTTAATTTGTAATGATGTTTTTTTATCCTTTCCTAAAAAATTTTTTGAAACGTTTTGCGACTTTTCCTTATTTTCTTGTTGATTCTGTTCTCCTTTATTCGCTTCCAATTCCTTTTGTACCATATTACGCATTTTCTTTGCAAATTGGAGTAAATTCTCATCATCACTGTCATCATCCTGATTTTTGTCGATATCTTCATGTTTCCGCTTTACTTTATTATTTTCTGTAGGTGTCTCCGTAACGCACATATTGAGCAATAATTCCTGCTCTAACGAGCCTTGCGGTTTATATGAGTTTGTGTTCATTAGGCTCTCATTCGTTTCCGGAATTACTAACTCACTACCCTTATCTTCCGTTAAATCAATAGTCACTGTTTGCGGGACGTTCTCCGTTAATGTTAAAGGGGTCTTGTCGCTGATACTTACATAACAAGGATTACAGTACCTTTCGGTGGAGCAATATAATATAGCATAACCGATCTCAAACTCCGGTATTATACGTCTACCATGAGATTTAAGAAAATCTGGAAAGGGGTTTTCGAATTAAAACATATTAAATTAAAATAAGATATCAAGCTATACTGCTTACCTGCTATGGAAAATATGGTTTGCGAACTTTGAGTCTCTGTTGAGGGTGTGTACTCAATTACTATAACATTACTTTTAAGAAGAAACGCTTTTTGTACACCAGCATTAAGGCTTTTGTACGTAGCCCCTGCCGATTGTACAAGAGGTCCATACATATCGGCATGTTTACGATGTAAAAAAATAAACGTGTAATCTCGAAGTAGTGTTTGACGCTTTGGCTGACGAGTCAGATCAAACGTTTCATCGAAACATGGACGATAATGCTCCATATTCGGCAAGGAGACTTTTTTAGCTCTAATAGCTTTTAATAGATCTTTCAAATAATTAGATGTGATTATAGGCTTTTGATTTAACAAGGCGTACAACAATTTGATGGTGATAGAAGATCCATTCATTATTAAATGTGTGCAAGTATTTGACCATTCCGTAAATACTTGGCCTCCTATATATCCAAGTATTTCCTCTACATCTGTCTGTTCTCTCTTGCTTAAGGATGATGTGACCACATTCAGTACATCATTTTTAACTTCCCAGACATTTTCAAAACGTCCAAATCGTATACGATCGTTCGCCTTTAATGGTAAACACTCATCCTTGTTTAAGCGTTTATTTTTTTCAATATCTTTGTTGTGAAATGTGCCATACTTAGAGCCCACATCCTTCAGTTGCAGTTGAACGTCATTTTTGCTTTTAATGATTAGCTGAAAAACAGCATGAGCTCTACTCACAGAACTGTCATTGACAAGCTCCAAATCTGCATCCAAACGGCCTACAGTGTATTCGATTTTGTCAGCAATGAAGTAAAAGCAATTACCTTTGAATAAATGGAAGCGTTTTATTTCGTATAATTCGCTGGTTGACATAAATACGTTGAACGATTTTATTGCTTACCTGTAGAAATATTTTTAAGCATCCACATTATTAAATAAGAATTCTTTTTCTTGTTTTAAACAAATAATAATAATAATAACTGAAAAAGATTCTTCACGAGAAGCATAGTCTGTCTATAGTTTGAAGACAAAAATACATACATTGATTGTCAGTTTACTTTTCATTTTAAGAGAAGCGTCTGCGATATGGCAACTTAGGTGTCATACGTGTCATATACAGAAAGTAATGCCACTTCTTTAAATTTAATTTCCTTTCTGTTAACATTGTCCATAAGTGAAAATATAATAAAAACAAAAAAATTAAGTAAATCATTCAGCACGTCATTAACATTATTCAGCGTATAGATATTATTGTACGAAGTTTAAATTGTCTATAATAATTTTTGTAGCCATAAGTATAAAAGAACTTTTTATTCTAAAAGTTACCTAAATCCATGTGTCTTAAAATCCAGATATTTAAATCTTTGCCTTTTTTTTTTTTTTGGTATGTTGAACAGAGATGGACTAAGCCAATCTTTGCCTTTCAACTAATTTAAAATTGTTGGTAACCGATAACGTAGGAACATATTGTTTTTGGCTTACTAAGGGTCTGTCACTTATCAATCCAATTAGCATAATTAAAATTATTTGAAAAATAATGACTAGAAAAATAAGTTTTGCAAATTCTTAGAAAAACACAAGTCCATGAAAAAAATACATTTCTTTTGAAATGTAAAAAAATGTGTACACAAATGCGTTTGCTCGACAAAATTAAAAAGTATTCAATTTGTATTTTCTATTAAAAAGTTATTATGGATTTAAAATAATTGTGGCGTGGAGGTAGCGTATAGTGTAATAAATCCATTGAATCATTATATTTTAACATGATGATGATGATGTCTCCTTCCTTCGTAGTGTGGTATCAACTTTATATTAGTCAAGTTTCTTCTTAGTCTTCCGCGAGAGTGGTGTTTTGAACGTTGCTTCCTCATACATAGCTGTTTTATAAGACATTTTATTTTGCTCAGTTCGGAAAACTCTCATTTAACATATTTTTACTCAATTTACCCATTCTACGTCAGTATTTTGTTTTTTTTTTTTTTTTTTTTTTGGCTTGAAAAAATCGCATTTCCTAGAGGATTCTTTGAAAATGCGATGAAATCATTTCGTTTCATTTCATTTAAAATGAACCTTTTCCTTCCACATTCTTTTATGAATGCGTAATATTCTTGAAAATTGGTTTTTCTTAACGGCATTTCCACAACTCCGAGGTCTCTATCATTTGGTAGAAATGAATGTCCCGATAACAGAAACTTATGTATTAAATAATAATAAAACATAAAATTGGGATTTCGTAAACGGAATTTAGGTCATTTTTAAAATAGTCATTTTTCCGTTTCATTACCTAGCAATTTCACAAAAAGCCTAATCCTGCAATTTTCAGTCGTAAGGAGTTCTTTAAATTCCGAACTAATCCCTCTAAACTGATCCGAAAGAATCAACCTTTCAGGCGATAATATTCATATGATAAATCTTGTTTGTTTATGTATGTTTGGCTTAAGGCAGCCAACAAAAACTTTTTGCTCTGGCTATATGCGTTGTACCTTGCTCAGCCATCTTTAATCTGGACGAATAAAAATTTTACTTTTTTTTGTTTTTTTTTTCTTATTTTTTCTTGATTTGTTTAGATATTTGGATTAGCTTTGTTGACGATAAGACGAATGTATCCAGTAACGTGATGAGTTTCTATTATTTGTTGATCTTTTGCGTTCTATAAATGTTGGATGATATCGGGCACCTTTCGTTAGGTCACAGAACTTAGATGAAAGAACTGTAATGTTTTACGGCAACTAGTTGATGCAAGTTGTTAAATGATTGTGAAGAAAGTTTGTACAAATAAATTTAATCAGATCGATGTTTTGAAACCATTTGACAAATTACTGAACTATAAGATAAACATTCGCTTTTATATATTTCAATATAAAAAAAATAAAAATTTTCAACTAAAACCGAAAGCTGTTATTAATTAACCAAACATTGACGAGCTCAAGACAGATAAGATATTATGTATATTTTCGCTCATTCATGGTAAATAACTTTGTTGTGCTATAATGAAGTTTGGGATGAGTGTATTTATGTCATACTAAATAACCATTGGAATTATATAAATTATCTACAATCTATATATATATATAAGCTTCATATCTCATATTCATAGAAAATGCTTTAATTTACTTTTTAGTTCCTCGTGCTTTTTACTAATAATGTGGAATTTTATGGACAAACTGCCGCTATATGCAAGTCATTGTCAGAAGCATTGCAGACACTGTACTCATATGTTATCCAGACTTTCGGACCTTGTTACTTGGATACTGATAAGAATTTTTGTTTGTACATTGACGGTAGTGGATTCTATAGGGTTTGAGGTATTTAGAGATATCGGATCGGAAACCAAACTTCTTACGTAGTAGCTCGCTTGCTTTGGCTGCTAAGAAATTCTTAATGATGCAAAAGCTTAACGATAGCATTTGTTTAAATTGTAGTAGTCCGAGAAAATGAGTTCAGGGCAGAGAGATATATCCGCTCCAAGGCGAATTTGGCTTGTCTCAGCCCTAATTTACCTAATGTGGGCGAATTGAATTGTTTTTGACCCTTGTAAAACTATAAGTATATGTATGTGCATGTATTCCTATCAATTCTTACGGATGCGAGAAGTCTATTAACAAGCAAGGTGACGGAGTGGGGGTAAATGAACATTTCATTTTACGCTATAAGTTTAATACGATCGTACTTGTATGTTTATCTGTTAGTTTGCGTAGGAACTTTGGTAGCACATAAGCATTTTAATTGTAAAAAATTTACAATCGGTGGGATCTTTAAATGAGTTAGCGAAAAGTTTTGCAAAATTTACTGTTGACAGTGTAGTTCTCTGCAAATTTTGTTAGATAGCCAAAGTGTTGAAGATGGAATGGGCAGACTTCTAGGTGAAGGCGCGTCAATTTCTAAAACAATAAATTGCCTTTTGCTGAGATTTCTTCTTTGTCAGCAGTTGTTACATATCTAGGAAAATGTAGTCAAACAAAAATGGTAGGTAAGAGATTTGGCCTTAGGTTGGGACAGACATCATCAGCCTTTGAAAGTAAAATATTCTCATTTTTCAAAGTATTGTTTCTTTTTGAAAAAACGTAGCTGGACATGTACCTCATCTAGGGAAGAAGCATTGTTGTTGTTATTAAAAAAACTACTAAAGAATGAAATGCTATTGCAATCGATTTGAATATGACGTAAGTAAATTGTGAAAGTACGAACAAGGACAATACATTCAGCACTGTGGCTTACTACGGATTGAGTTGATTCTAATGGTGAGAGCGATCTTCAGCTCTGTCTCACACTGAACATTTCAAATCTTGCTTGAGAAATGCATTTAAAAGCATTTAAATATGAGACAACATGAAATTTGCTGCATTGCAGTTTTCGTAACGAAATGATGATAACAATAGTACAGTAAGTACTATAATAAGGGCACCGTCTACATGCTTCCTTTATTAGTAGGAGTGACCTGGACTGGTAATTGCATTAAAAGAATACTATTTGCATAGTAAAAATCAATCGAAAAAATACCTTTCGTAAGATTATCTCTCTCCCTCTCTTCTCGTAGAGATAATTAAGACGTCTATTGAATATCTGAGAATTGATTGCTTGTGTCCACAATTGTATAGTTTAGTAAAAGACAATGTTGTCAGACAGACAACTCAGTAAAAGCCAAAATAGAATAAGCGGGAAGAAGAGGAACAAGAAGGTAATTTCCCTACCCAACTCCACCCTTTTTGCTGATTGTGGGCGTATTAGTGAGCTAATTGAAAACATTCTTATACAGAAAAAGATTTTCATATTAGAATCTATGTAGAAGATTCTCAAACTGCTGATGCAAGCATATAATAAAAACTTCCATTTTTTTTTCCATTTTTCGTATCGTTAACATTAAAAAAAAAAATAAAAACAAAATATTTCAAATCTTTCCAACATATAGAAGGCAACCCGAAGAAATCCATTGCATGTATGATTTTAAAATTTTGCCAAGACGCCAAGTACACACATTTTTCCCAATTTTTGTCTCATAGTCCAGTACACTTAGTTCCAAAAATTGTCTAATCGGCCATCGAAAGAACAAGATATTTCGATTGTGTTGCTGTAAGAATTTGTTTGTTCACTAAAGAATTATAAAAATAATGAAAGTAAAGAATGAGTAACAGAAAATTCGTTATAAATCGTATTTTCTTTCTTTCTTCTACATTTATCGCGGCATATCGGATTTACCAAATGTTCGCAACATACAATAATATGGGTCCGTTAAGTACCTGAATTAGATTGGGTACAGAATAGACAAAAAATAGGTGCATGAATCCGCTTACAAAGCGGACAAAATTCAAAATATTATCCCTACAATCGATAGACTCGTGGCGTCATAACTGTAAGACTCTTAATTAAAATTGTTGTGGTTTAAAGAAAATTTTTTATATCAGAGTTTGGAGAATTCATTCACCATTATTTTCTCAAAAAGTCACATATATATATATATATATATATATAAACCAGGGTATGTAAATGTCATATTAAGTTATATACAATACATATATATATATATATACGACGCGTTAGGCAATATTGATATTACAAGCGAATCGATCTAAGCCCTCTTCTGCAATTGAATTCGGCAATATGTTAACTATTGAATGTTTTGTTTGTAACAATTTGAAATGTTGCTTAATTGAGAATTGAAAGTCAAGCAAACACTTAACTAACACCAAACACCAAAGAGTTAGAATTAAATTAATACAATCCGGCCGAGTAAGCAAGAATCTCGACTAGCAACTCAATGGTTCGTGGGTTCAAATCTCAAGTGCCGTAGAGTTTTTAATAAAAGCCGAAAGCCTTTAGAGGCTAGTGCTTTTAATACTTTATTCTTAGAATTTATTCTCTGGCTAAATTTATAATAATAATAATAATAATAATAATAATAATAATAATAATAATAATAAATTGATACAGAAATTTCCAAGGCATTCGATTTGCTAGCATGTTGAATAATGGACGCATAAAGAGCCTTCAGATCACTTGTTATTGAAAAAAGTTAATGTACACATTGTTAATAGTAGGGGATACAACAACAATGATAAACAGAAATATTTTGCAAAAAAAAAAAAAAAAAGAAGAAAGAAAGAAAACAAGAAAAAAATTGATATGAAGAAGCACTAATATTTGCCACTACAAACTCGAAGCATAGGAATTCATTTTCCACAGTTGAAGTTTAAAGTTAAACGCATTCGCATCGTTCTTAAGCGAAAGCTGTCGGCGATTGTTTGTAAACAGTAAAACGTGTTTAAACGCGACTATAATAACAAGTGAGGCGGTTTGGCGCACATTTGAATATGCCAAGCGAGTGCATTATAAACAAATTAAGAAATGCTAAAATGTTAACTTAATTTCGCACATATATACAGGCACACACACACACACAAACACATAAACACATAAACACATAAACACAACAAACACAACAAACACACAAACACACAAACACACCCAAACACATACATTTAAATTAATTCACAAATAATTCTTTCCCGTTGATCCGTTCGCCAATAAATAGAAACTCTTTAAAGAAAATATCGCTTTCAAAAGTGACATTATTTGATGATACGTACGGTATAAAAACTGTATTAGTACACAACGTAAAAGCGATCATCATAGGCATAACATTACATATTAATATATATGCAAACACGTTGAGACTCCTTACAAAAATACATGGAACTAATTTTTCAATTCGTTGTGTTGGTTATGTTCTGCTGCTTTTTGATTTGCATTTGAAGTGAATTAATTACTATATAAAAACTAAAAGCCTTCGAAAATACTCGTACAAAGGGATATATAAACTGTTGGTGTTTACGTATGTATATTGATATTTTTCTCATTCTCTTCCACATATATGTACAGTATAGTATAACAAATAATAAGAAAAATGTAAAGATAAATTTTGAACATAAACCGTTCAATATATTTCATATGTATATGTATACGTTTGATTTGCTTCTGATTTCTGATTAGAATAAATGTAAATTATCTTTCGGATATTAAGTATAGATAAAGAGGAAAAGAGAGAAGATTTTTTTGTTGTTCTTTAAAATATAAAACACAGTCATTCAGTCAGTCAGTCAGTCAGTCAGTCATTCAAATTTGTAGATAATTTCAAAAAAAAAAAAAAAAAAAAAAAAACAAAGCTGTTTTGCCAGTTTATAGTCGGTTTCTAGCATATTCGAACTTGAGCATAGATTATTTGGACAAACAAGACAGTTGGTCTGCTCGGTGATGAATAATCATAGTAGTATGCTTTGTCAGAAATGCTTGGAGGAGTTCAATAATAACGGTGCGATGTAATATACTTACTTATGTACATGGTATTAAAGCCCAACGACATTTCCAAAACAAAAAAAATAATAAAAAAGAAAAAGAAAAAAAAACAAGTCATACATATACCAGTGCACGGATTGTACATTGTAGTTTTTTTATTTTATTTATTGTTGTTTTGTACTTGTTTAAATTCCTGTTTTTTTCATTTTTTTTTTTTTTTTTTTTTTTTTTGGTTTTCATATTTTGATGAATCAGTAGACTGCACAAACGATGGATATATATATATATGCATACAATAAATTTATTTACTTTATAGTCCTCGTTTCATGTCATGGCATGCATCGCATTACGTTCAAGTACATATACATGTAAGTGTACGCATACTGCCATGTAGAGTATTCGTTAAAATATCGTCGCAGTGGAATAGAAAAGAAATAAAAGTTGACCAGCGAAACTTACCTTATAAGGATTACCCTTATTGTTGCTGTTTTCGTTGTTATTATTATTATCATTATTATTATAGTTATTGTCTGTCACTTTTAGTTTCAATTATTTATATATATATATATATATATATATATATATATATATATATAGTTGTTTAGCGGTTTTTTTAATGTGCTTTACACATATAATATTTTATATAAAAATTTTTTAGATAATGATATATTGAGTTCAATAAAATGTTGCTATATTTTTACCGGTTTTTTCTTGTTTCCTTTTATTTATTTATACATATATATATATATATATATATTTATTTTTTTTCATTTTTAATTTATTGTTATTTAAGGTAAATGCAGGTGAAAACGCTTTTTTCCTCACATATGTATACATACATGTACATAAAAGATTTTCACCGAATTTCATTATTATGTAAAAAAGAAAAAAAAAGCCACTTAAGCATTCTATAGGGGCGTATAGTCGATAGCAATAATAAGCGCATTGATACATATTAAGTTTATATGTTTCGATCGAGCAAAATTCATAGTTAATCTCACAATTCTGAACTAAATAAATTATATATTTAATATAAATACGAATATGTATATATAATTGGTTTTTTTTTTTTTTTTTTTTTTAAGGAACATAACGTTTAAATTAACAATAAAAAATGAGTAGATGTATTTGAGAAATTTGAATTGATTTCACTTGAACTTTAGCGAGATATTTAATTAATTCAGCCTCTGATAGATACCATGGAGTTTACATATGCAATACATCCACTATGGAAGGATCATTTTGGTATATCGTAACAGCTTAAAGTGCCTAATACATACCTAATACCTATATATAAACTATTGATTCAATTATGCCAAGAAAGAGTCATAGATTACTCACATTACTCAAATCTAGAAATTTCATATGACTAAGAAGATTCATGTTTTATAAAATAAATAGCACATCGGTTAATAATTCTCGGGGGTAAAAGTAAGTAAAAAGTAAGCAGAAGATCAGCTTTTCCCAAACTTTGCTTTGTGACACGATACATTTATTCCGCTGTGCATATAACGCGATAACCAGCTGTCTCGTGCTCAACTTATCATCTAAAATAATGAATGCATTATCTCTTGATATCCTTCGAATGTTGAGATGGCATGGCTGCGCTTGAAGAGATTGAGATTCCCTAAAAATAATACGGATTTTCTTTGTTGAGCGTGTTAAATGTCTGAACGTGATCAGTCCCGGATATTATCGATCAACAGATTAATGATACAAAATCACAAAGAGAGCGTGATAGAGAGAGAGAGAAAGAGAGAGAGAGAGAGAGAGAGAGAGAGAGAGAGTGACAAAGTTTGCATATGCCCGTACGGTAAATTAATACATGTTCGCTCGTTTGGAAAGTTTTTTCTTTTTTTTTATAAAGGTCCGTTCGATCTTTCGTGCATAAAAGCACATAAGAATTGATTTGTCGTCAAGTTTTAAATTTCAGTTCAAATAACTTACTTACTATAATTTCTTTATACCTTTAACGACAACATAATTTTGCTTACGAAAATATTCTTTTCGATAATTACCGTCACAACTAAACACGTATCTATGTACTTTGAAGTTTGAATTTTTAATTTGCTTTCAAGTTGCGTTCGCGTGTTGAAAATTTAAAAATTTGTTTACACAACAACTTTACAAATTTCCAAATACATAATAAATAAAAAAAAAAATAAAAAAAAAATGCTCTATATGCCATAGAACGAATTTTGCATACCCAACGCCTTAGGTACATATTGTATGTAAATGACGCAGTTTTCTGCTCATTGCGAATGTGTTGACAGCTTCGTTCGAAAGAATTTTTGATATATTTTCAATTAAATTGCAGATCGAAACATTCTATTCATGAAGCGATTTTACAATATTTATTCCTTTCCAGTTACATTAGCACTTAGTTACGGGCGACGGCGATCAGCAAAACCCGCGCGATAATATTAATAGCAAGTTTTAGTTCTCTCACAGCCAGGTGCACGAGCGAATCATCAGAATTCGAAGATTTGCGTTGCGTTTGCGTTAGCGTTTTTCTAACTGTTACAAACGAAATAAATAAGTTAATTTGCCCACTAGCAAAATATTATCAATCATATTATATGGATATTTTCATTTGTATCGTTATTTATTTGTATTAAATTTTTTTTTGTTTTTGTTTTTTCCAAGTTTTGTAAAGTAATTAATTGCCATACCATAAAGGTTATATATGCCTAATAATCGATTTCGTATTACATTTATATTTGAAATCCATAAGAAGACAATTTATTTATTAAGTTTGTTTGCGGATACGGTAGACATTAGTTGGGCAGTGAGTCCTATCGAATACGAATTCAGGTAATGAATATCATTATGAATGAATCGTTTTTAGAGCCAATCTTGCTAATACAATAAAGTTGAATTTATTATTGAAAAGTAAATCCTTGTACGTTTTAGAATTGCGTGTTAGGCAAAATGGTATAGGGTATTTAATGCAGGGCCATCTTCGACTATAATTCAAATTCGAATTTTTTTTATTCAATATTAAGAACGCAAAACTATATGCTTAACTGATATTAATGACGCAGTTGCGTAAGATAATTCGGTTTCTAGGAATTCACTTTATGTACGCTACACTTTTTCTAGAATATTAATTTTCATATTAGTTTCAAATTTAAATTGTTTTTATTATGAAAATCTTATGATGACTTTGCTGCTCAAATCGTTGATGTAATAATTATACCTGCGCTACCGGACAGATAGTTAGATAATTGTGAATAGCGAGGAAATATATACTAGAGACCTAGGTTTCTGAATTCACTTAAGCAAGCATTGTAATGCTTCAGTTATGCGCATATGGAAAACTTCATCTAACGTACGTAAACGTAACGTATGTAGCGAATAGAATTTCTTTAATATTATTATTATTATTTTATGCACTCGATTAGTTATCGTTTAATTCTTCTTCTTTTTTTCAAATATATTACTCTTCAGATCTACTACTTTAAAAGTATACGATCCTATTATGTACATGTGTATATGTTATATATTTATTATATGCTACGTAAGATAGTAAAAGGTATTTTGCAATTTACTTATTTCGGGGCATGGTCATTATAGAATTTCCACTTTTAAATTTCAATTTTTCCCTGCAAAAAATATTAATCTTATATAATATATATACATATTTTTTTTTTTTTTTTTTTTTTATTCATAATTAAAAATCAACAAATGTTTAGTATCGAGAGATTTCTTTGTTTATTTATTTATTTGATTTTATTTTTATTTTTTTTTGCAAAAACAGTACAATGACTAATCAGATTATAACTCGCTTAGTTAGTGACCTAAATTTGAGCGTGGTTTATAAGATGTTTATAAGAGTATGAACGAGGGTGAAGCGTATTTTATTATTTTATTATATTTTTTCAAATGTTTAAAGAGAGCGCAAACTTTAAAATCATTATTTATAAGAAGGAATGAGAAAAGTTTTCTTCACGAAAGCAAATGAAGGGTCAGCACTTGCATCGATATGTAAACACATATATCCAGTTATCATAATAATTAACATCGCTTGAGAAGTTCAGGGCCAGCAGTTTAAAATAATGTTATCTAATACCGTTGCCCTATGAAGTCATCGGCCTATGCTAAATTTATATGTTAAATACAAAACAATTATTGTATAAATTTATATTAAATTTAGTATAGATGATGATGAATCATTTCGCCAGCTGTAATAAAAAAAATACGACTGTTTTTTATAACTTTTTTTATAGGTTTTTAATTTCATTGGAGTGAGTATAGCTTAGTAGTGAAATACTTTGTATACAGTGGAGCTACGATAAGTGCGATAGTTTTCCATTCCTTATCCTAATCGGAGGTAACTAATCATTTTCCTCCGAGAATCATGTTTCCCAATTGGGAAATAAATAATGTACGCCACGGAATACAAAGAATCATATTATCATGAGTAAAAGCATCTTCTTCCTATGTACAGATGCAGCTTTTTTCGTATTCATCCCATTCATCCCATTCATCCCATTAATCCTTTGAAGTTCACATATTTCTTAACCGGCGCTACGAATAACGTTAATAGAGTCATGTCTATCTCTATGCTGCCACATTTGCCCAATTGTAAAAACACATGTACACGTTTATCGTGAGGTATATACAGTTCGTTTAAATTAAAGCCCCGTGCATTTACATTATTAATACTTATCGTAATTCTTTGCGATTTTCTTCCTTTCACAACACAAACACAAATTAAGTCCAATCTTTGCTTACAATTTTGTCTACAGAAAAGTTTAGAAATACCTATCGACGACCCCATGTAGGTAAAAATGCATAACTGTGCTGCCTGTCATGCCTTTATTCAAACCGATCCAACGCAGTTACTAACGTGACTTTTGTTGGTTAAGTCGAAGCAAAATTCTATTGAATTGTTATGGGCGATAAAAGTTCAAAATCATTTTGCCGTTTTAAGGAAATCATTACGATCGACGGTATGATCGACTAAGCGTGGCGCACGCGTTTATTGAAATTAGACAGTTAATACGTAAACATGACCAGCTTGGGTCTAATGAAACCAATATTATGCAATACGACCAAGAATAATTGGTTTACATGAGCAGCGTACATGAGCAGCTTGGGTCTAATGAAACCAATATTATGCAATACGACGAAGAATAATTGCTGCAATTGTTGCGATCATTGCAAGGAAATGTGTGCAATATGTTTAAAAACATTATATATGGGATAAATTTTTATTCGGTCTAATATTGCAAAATACGCAAAATGCGGAACATTAGCAGTGCTTGATTTGGAATGGCTTGTCCCCAACTCCTCCTAATTAGCATTTTTTTTTTCGCCTCTACCTGTATAAAGAACGCTCTCATCCTTATGTCAGCTTACGAGGGCAGACTCATAAGATTAGTTGTCCTTGCCGCAAGGACGCTGTATTCTGTCGGGAGGGATAGGACGGAGTATAAGAAGTGTGTAGCTGATAACAGAAAGTACTTTGAATGAAATATTATTTACTCTCTCTCTCTCTCTCTCTCTTGTAATAGGCGCCTTTTTTTATAATGAATGAATCGATTTTGGTTTTTTTTTTTTTTTTTAATTTCATTATTTTCAGTCACATGACAATCTAAACAAGTGGAACTATGATAAATAATAATCGCATTTTCCATGGCAAGGTTTTTTTTGGGAGTCACTTAATTGCTTAATACATACTTACATTAACAATATGCAGTGCATCTGTAGCTGCATTAGAAATATGTAACAAAATTGAAATATGTTGTCCTGTGCTTGTTGTCCATCCATAATTTGGATAAATAGACAGTCAATGTAAGAATGAATGAGAGAAAGATTTCACTACACAGTTGTTGACTATAAGAACCACCCACCGGTTTGCATATGTGCAAGTATATACGAAAAAAGAGTTGATTTCTTAAATCATTTATGTTTTCTTATTTGTTTTTTTCGTTAAAACGCTTTAAAGATCGTTAAATATAGACAAAGGTTGCCTTTTTATAACAAGCAGGAAGTGATTTGAACGTTTTCTTTTTATAAGTGATGTGTGAGTTACCTCTAAACTATAAATATGAGCGTATATGTGAAAACATGTTTATATATATATATATATATATATATATATATATATGCTATATAGAAAGTAATATAATAGGTACGCGTGAAGAAGTTGAAAAAGTACGCCTTTGCGAATGCAAACATTACCTCTGACCGTTTATTTTGCATTAGCTTATATATTTTATATATATATATATATATATATATATATATATATATATATATATATATATATCTATACCTGCGCACAACATTCAATGTACATATATTTGCATATTCTGTTTTAAATTTTTTGTCTATGGTTGGGGCGTAAGCTGACCTAAAATGCGTCTTGTATGAGGAAAAAGCATCTTTTTCTAAACGAAATTTTGGCAAACAAAGTCGATAATACGGTATTCATGTCGATTGCTTGCTATTGCCTATGGTAGTTTAGTTAATACGATTTTGTAAAAAATAAAAGAAATTAATGGAAGAGAGGGAGGGGCAATTTGTCCGAATTAACATTAAAAAGAAATATAATTTTTAATAAAAAATTTTCAAAATACTTTACATACATACATATATTGTCAGCGATATGCAATATACACTTTATCATAGGATTATTGTTGCTCTTATTGCTGAGTATTCATTCAATTAATGATTTTGTAATTTTTACAAAATAATTCTTATAGAAAAGCAACAGTGCAAGTTTTCCAATGCAATGAAAATTATCTTCATCTTCATTATCTTTCAAGTTGAATCGTTCCTAATTACCAACTAAGATTTTTAATTAAGAGTCAGTTGTTAAGTGTAATGAGATACGATATAATACGTAAATGATTATATTCAGAATTTCATCTACTTGGCGTAATGATGACATTATTTTTTCTATTCATGTCTGTGCTCTTCAAGGTTGAAGGCTTTCATTATCTATTTCTCAGAAAATGATTTGTTTCGCTTACAAAATAGTTCAAGTGCAAGCATATAAGTGAAGATCCAAGAATTTTAGTGACACATTTTCATTTAAGCGACCTACTTAATAATAGCCGAATGGCTTAATATCTGAAGAATGAATTGGAAAAAAAATGCATTCATCCGGTATTCATTTAAGATTTAATATACATCCAAACACACAGTGCTGAGCAGCTATATATCAATGCATTCTAATTATAAAAATTATAAAAGTTCGCCTTCTATTTCCTTAGTAATGCCGTAGGTTTGTAACTCAAACCAAGAAAGTATCTATCTTCGCCTTGGCATGATTTTGTCTTTTTAAATTCATCTCGAGCTTTGACTTATGCCACAAACCTTACTCAACATTTCATTTCATCGTCTATGAAGAAATTTTTGCCTAGAGGATAGAGTGCATATGCGCATAGAATATGTTAATTGAAATCAAATTTTTATGGAATTTTCCAGCGTCCCATAAATAATTGTATAGACTAAACACCATTTTGACAAGAGACTCCGCCTTATCTATATCCATTTCGTTCTCGTAATTTTTTTTACAAGCTATGGATAATTTTGCCGAATTTTGCAAAGCATTGAAATTTCTTTATAGAAAAGTTATGAAATCTGATGTTAACCTGAACCTAAACTAATATCTTTATAGCCTTAAGAAGAAATTTGGGAAAAAGTTGAACTTGATAATTGAATTTTTGATAATTGTCGCAAGCCCATAGGTATATTTTACCTACAGAGAATGAAGAAAAAAATTTGAGAGAAAATTTTATTCTTTTACATGAACTTTTGACACTATATATAATCGCGACTTGGACATATGGACAGACGGACATAACTGAATCAACATCGCCGACTTCAAAGCACTTTTAACGAAACTAATATTTCTCCTCTCTCTCTCTTTGTGTGTGTGTGTGTGTTTGTGTGTGTGTGTGTGTGTGTGTGTCTATGGTTGTCGTAAAAATGAAAAGATGACAACGTTTGGAAAAATGAGGAAAACTCATCACATTGCGTAAATATTTTAATCGTCAATTAGAAGAAATCTATTTTTTTCACACACCCACACGCACCTAACCTACTTGAAGAAAATGAGTAAACAAATGAAGCGCTCTATTTGCAATTTAACTACAATCACAGATAATTCAACTTTTAGGGCCAGATCGGAAACAGACGCAAATATGAAGCTCATACTTACTACGTGTAAATCTTAAAAAAGAAAAAAAAATTATATTCACTTGCGGACGAATCATTTATCCTGACACGTTTATCTTCAAACGAAAATAGCAAAAAAAAAGTGGAAAAATTATATTCGATCGTAAATGAATCTTTTATACCCGTCATCGTTATCTTAGCAATGACAAAAAAAGTAAAAGAACTAAATTTTCAAAATAAGAATTTTCGTTCCATAGGCCTGTGGGCGTTGTAGGCGTTGCTTCTGAAAACTTTACGTCACTTCTTGTTCTTCTTTTCTGTCAATTTTGATGCCGCTTGCTGTATTTTTGCGACCACGAAATGTTCCGATCAAACGGACATTCTTAAGTCGTGGTTTGCGTGGTGTCTAAAAGCTTCCTTCTGCACGTTGCAAACGTTTTGGCAAACGGAATATAGCTCCCATCCTTTGGTGACGGTCATAAAAAATCATAGAACTTGAGAACATTGTTTCGATCACGAATTTAGAGTTTTAATGAGTGATCGACCATAGAAGCAATGAATACAACAACAATGAATTGAATAAACGTGAAGCGGTTCATTTATTTAGTTATAAAACCTTTTAAATATTGATAGGGTATAGGATACAAAGTTGAAGGATTTTGATAATGTTGTGGATGATATAAAGACGGTGGGGGATCTTGATACGGTAAGGTAAAGTACGGAATTGGAATTAATACATATTGAAGAGGTAACTGAGGATAGAAACTGGATTGCACCGGATAATCGGGAAGGTTGTCACGTACACTGGCAACAGGTGGATTAATTGTACTAGAAGTTATTGGAGCTGATGTACTAGACGTTGGATCCGCAAGCGTGCTAGGCGTGGCGTTTTCGACGTTGGCCACATTACCCGATGAAAGAGAATCGATTGTGCTAAGTGAAGAACTAGTTGAAGTCATTGCACCGCTAATGGCCGGAGCAGCAGCGGTGGTTGCCTGCTCCTCATTGGCTGAAACTGCTGCAAGATTAGTGCTTGGCGCAGAGGTTGAGGTAGTTGTGGCTTTAAATATATTCAAAATATTTTGCTTATGTCCCAATATGTTCTGTTTGTGATTTAGAAGGGTTTGTTTATTATTGATGAATAGGGTTCCAATGCCTCCCAAATCTCTTTCCTGAATATCGAGAGAACCGCTAACCGCCGTTACTATTAGTAATAGGGCTAAGGTTAAAAATTCAAATGTAAAAATGTTTTTGAAAATTTTTTTATTTAATAAAGAAATTTGATTATTTTTTTACCCGCTAATGTGACGCACACGTTATGCTTCATCTTTCCAAATGATGTAAAATGCATAACATTCTGGGTTTATATACGCAAAGTATTTCCATTAATTATCTTCACAATCAACATTTTACATTTTACATAACTACATAGCTTAAGAATTTTGGTTACGGATTTGTTTTTTTTGTTTTTTTTTTTTTTCTCTGGTTTTCATTTATATTTTTTATTAAAATAAAAAAAAATTATGTTAATTTGTTTATGTATAAACCAAGTTAGGGTTCTTTTCTATCCAATTAAACTTTCACTTTGTAAGATATCGAAAACGAGTTTTTACATTAATTTTACAATAATTTATGCATTTAAAAAGTTGGACCGCATTATACATCTTCTCATAGATATGTCGAGATATTGTAATCTAAATTAATAAAGAGCGGCACGAAGTATTTTCAAACGCCTTTTATTTTCTTAATAGAAACTATAATAGTATTATAATTTAAGAATTTTTTAATAACTACAACCGGACATACAAGGGAGCAGACATTTTTATTATAACATATACATACGCAATAGTTGAATTCAAAAGTATACCTCTTACATTATTGTTTAAATGAAATGGACGTAAAGACGCTAAAAAGTAAGGGAAAAGACTTAATAACACTTCATCCAACCTGAGAAATAGTTTTTAGGTCAAATGGTTTGAGAATGTCTTTTATTCTCTTAACAGTTAGCACATTGTACATCAATACCCGAAATATAAGCTATAAGTGTTGTATATATGTCTACGAATTTCGCAGATGAATTCAGCAAATGTTTGTGCCAAGTACGCGACTACTACGTTTTATGAACTCAAAAATAGGAATCGTTCACTTCTCGTGGACGTGGTTGTAGATTTTCAAACTTCATCTGTCCGATGATCTGTTAGTCAGCTAAGTAATCGACGAGATAAGAATCTTAACTATCAAGCCAGTGTTCGTGTGTTCAAATCTCAAGTGCGATAGAGTTCTCTTCGGTTGTGATGGCCTAAGGTGGTGAATGCTCAGTCGGTAAAGGCGACGTATCGACTAGTCGTGTGGTCTAGTACATCTCCCTGTTTCTGTCTGACTTTCTCTTTCCTCACTTCATCCCAAGCGCCACTACCTTCCCCGCAATTAGGGGACTTACCCTGAGCGATTGGTCATATCAAAAAGGAAGAGTAGCCTATTAGAGTCGTTGTTTCTGTGATTGTTTGATGTTCGCGGAGCTACTAAAATTCATGCAAATCCGGCTAAAATAAATTTGGAAAAAATCAATTTGAAAAAATCTTGCATCTACTAAGAACGTGGTCCTAAATATTACCATATATTAACATTAATTAAATGAATCAAATAATTGAGCATATAAACTCCCACTTCGTCCAGGAGAAAGATATTTTAGATTACTTAAAATTTTTATTAATACATATATTAGGTTCCAGAGTTGATATTGATTTGATACATTTACGTGAAAGTCAAGTCAATAATTTCTATGAAAATATTTCATTGACTTGCATTCAGTTAAAGAACGCCACAGATGCCAAATATTCAAGAATTTTCATTTTTTATTTCTGCAACATTACCTAAAGGGCTTTGGTACAGTCACCTCTCTATCCCTTTTTTAATAATTGTCAACGTTGCAGCATTGCACGAATAATGCACAACTCCGGAGTGATTGGTTACATAAAAAAAAAATTACCCAGAAGTGTGTTAGTCAAATTTCAGCTTTCTATCCCAATTTTTGTGACCGTGCAGAGTCTGGCAATAGACTATACTCGCTTACGACGCCCAATCATGCATGTACTAATTAGGGACTACTTAATGCGTGCTTCTAAGCTTTCCACAAGAGAAGATGAACTTATTCATTAGCGCATATAATAAAAAAAAAAAAAAAATTATTTATATTTTTTAAGTAAAAAAAAAATTATTTATATTTTTTAAGTAATATAAAAAAAATTATTTATATTTTTTAAGTAATATTATTTTTTTTTTTTAGTTTATTTAAAATGTGTACGAATTAAAAAAAATTCAAGTATATTCCCTTCCGACCAATATGAACGCCACTCATCGGGAAGAACGGATCTGATCCAACAAATTATTTTTTCTGTTTATATATATATATATATATATATATGTATATTTTTAATATAACGCATTATTGAAGAAATGTCGCCTGTAAGTATATAAACGCGTTAGTGGAAAGAAACGCATAGGGAGGATAAAGAAAGCAAATTAAAATGCAATCTTTGGTTGGATAGAACCCATAAATCGAGGAAATTCGTCCGAGGTGATAAAGTTACATAGGACCCTGAATGATCTGTTATGCAGATACGAACTTATTCATCTCACTAAGTAGAAAGGGAAGTCAGAGGGTTTGAGTTTGAAGATCAATAAATTATGGCTAATTAAAACAAACGCTTTGCTAAAATCAGTTCATACGACGTCCGTGCGAGAGCCACTAGGGAAAGTCATGAAAACATCGCAAGTAAACTCTAGGAGATTCGTGACAGTAGATCTTCCTTGCCGGAAGGCATGCTAGAATGGAGGAATACAAGATTTAATAGCAAAAGCTTGTAAGCTGAGTGACAATTCGCTCAAACCATTTACGCAAGGCACTCAACTTGGCGATGCATCTATAATTCTCAACGTGATGTCTATTTCCACTTTTGCGAATTGGGATAAGGAAACTACTCTTCCAACACAAACGAAAAAGACCTGATTTCAAAGACTGAATGGCATCCAATCAGCCCCAGGCGCAGGATTATATTTTAGAGAGCTTAAACCATCTAAAACATCATTTTGAATCGAAATTAGCCGATGAAAAGTTTCGTCGGAAGTATTCATCAAAAAGATTGGAGGTGTCGTCAATATTACAAAAGGACTCGAAGGTATTAAAAGAAACCTGCAATAGATATGTGAAGATTTTTATTTTAGTGTTGACAAACCTATAAAGATATTTAGGACAAATAAGCAATGAAGATTTTATCAATTGACGGTATCTCCAAGTAACTCAATGTAACAATGCTCATTGAGGTAATTAAACTTAAGGTTAGAAACTGTGTTTTTCTTATCTTTGCAATGTTGCAATTCTCTTGTTAAAGCATGTCAGGCACTTCATTCGAGGACGAGGTGGCCCGATCGAAACGGATGCAGAACAATGACAATAAGATTTAAATATTTCTCGCAGAAAAGTCGAGCATAATGTATGAAAGATGAGACTTAAGCAGTAAAATATTGGTTTTATTCAAAATCATAATTTAGCGGAGGATCAACGAACCCGTTATGCCTGTGCTGGGTGTTTAGAAACGACAATTCATTGGTTTTGTTTATATTTTTTTGGAGATAGAGACTGAGTAGACTGAGCGGCACCGTTAGGAGAAGATACCCTTGCCACTTCAGCATAGCTGACACGAGGACGACTGCCCAGAAGATTGTTTTGTGCTTCCCCGATATTTTTGTGAAAGAGGGAGATCTAGGCAGTAACATATTGATCTTGTTAAAATCATAATGTGAACATAATGGACAGCGATACAGTAGGTGTCAATATCTTCCATATCATTTTGATCTCTTGTTCACGAGCTTCACGTGCAGTTGTAGTTGTCCGCAACCTGAAAGGAATATCTCCAGAGTATCTTTCTACTTTCTATTTCGATGTCTTCATGTTGTGTCATTCGCGCAAAGCGCAAATTTAGGTTCGCTGAGTACCTGGCTGTATATTTAGAAGCAAGGAAGAACAAGCTAAAATCGTTTGGATTATTAAATCAAAATGTGAATTATGAATTGATCTTTATTATCGATCTCGTGCTTATAAAGTGCATCATGCCGTTCTCTTATAGAAACATCAAAAACTCTTGAAAACTATTCTCCTCTAGCGAAAGGTAGCTGATCACTGTGTGTTCACTGTGTTCACTGTTTTGCATGATAATTTGGGGAGAGGCAGCTATTTGCCAGAGTGTTAGGTAGAGTGCTTACTTGTAGTAATGGAATCAAATGACTCGTATCACAAGTCGAAGTTGCTAAAGTTGCCATATTGATCGTGTGTCTGCCTGATCTGGTTTCCAGTGTATAGAAGAACATTTGTGGAGCACCTGGTAAGTTCGTTTGCGTTCGAAGCGCATTTTGAGGGTTAAATCGTTCTGCAAAGCACGAGACGAATCTTTAAATGAATCTTTTAATGAATGATTGCTTCGCTCTAAAGCAAAACTTTGCAATTCTTAGATAGGCATTCAAAGTTGCGAGCAGGAATGGAGCAGGACATTGCTAAAAATAGCCCAGTTCCACAAACGAAGGCAACGACGCCAATTCCTCTTTATATAAAGGAGGTGTCTTTTTTTTTCTTCTGTTATACGCGTACACCTCTATTGCTATCCATTTGTGTTAAAACAACAAAAAAAAGCTTGCACGAAAATATATGTTTCATTAGAAAATGTTTTCTAATAAAACAGGCGGATATCTAAAATTAATTTAAGAGTAAATATCGTCTTCTTTAATGATAATGAAAATGAATTATTTTATTAATTAATTTGAGGTAAACTAACATTTTATTGATTACTTTGTTTTTTTCATAAATTTAGTGAAAAAATAAATAAATAAATAAAATAAATAACAAGTAAGAGAATTATGTTCGGTTGTGACCGAATCCTTCATACCCATCATCGTTATCCTAAGAAAGGCTCTTTCATGCCTTAAATTATCGAGTGGGCGCGATCCATTTTTTCTATATTCGAAATAAAAGTTTTTGTATTGTATACTCCTGTGGACGTTGTAGGCGCGTTCTTTAAAAAGTTGAAGTCACTTCCAAATTACTTTGCAAATTTGTAAGCATTGTCTTAATTTTCGCTAATGGGCGAATGCCACACACAAATGCGCAAACAGACAGATGGATAGATGAACAGACGGACATATTTAGGTGCATTTGAAATTCGAAACTGGCCAAGAATGTATATATGTTATGAGGTTTTTGAAGTTTACTTCTACGCATTGTAGAGGTATTGAAGAAAAATATTAAAATATGATACACTGTAATATTGGGTACGCGTGGCCAACTTTTTCTACTTTTCTACAGATTCTACAGCATCGTCCACAGAATGTTTGTGTTCAAATTTTTATACCTTTATCAGCTATAGCTTATAGCCTAATAAGCAAAAGATTAATATTT